ATAATAATAATGATAATGATAATAATAATAATAATAAAATAAAAATAAAATTACATAAGATCAATTTTAAAACAAACATGTCGTGAAAAAATTCAATTACATAATTTTTTTCGCATGAACGAATTTTGCATAAAAAAAAACATATACATATATATAAAATATATATAAAAAGTATACATATATAGTATATTATGTATGTATGTTTGTATAATTCTTTTAATTTACCTAAATTATCTAAATGCATGATCCAAATTTGGCCAACAAAAAAAAAAGATAATCTTAGCAGAATTTAAAGTTCGGTATCTAGCGAATTTATTCATTATGATCATCTGATCTGAATAGTATAGAAATACCTTTTCATAACTTTTTCATATGAACTTTTATTATCAAAAGATGCAATGCAACATCTTTTGTGGGGAAGAAAGGGGTGAATTAAAATTGTTCAGTTGATAACCGGTATAACGGGTACATTTAACTATTATTTCGATTAATTTGGTAATTCTTAATCAAATATATTTAAAATATATTAAAAAGTACACGAGAATAACGAAATGCAAAGATTTTCTTTACGGAATAAAATTACTTATTCGCATGAGAAAATATATTTAAGCTTAAAAGCTTTATTGCATAAATCAAAATCCAATTTAAGTAGTTACAAATGAAATAATTATATGTAAATAAATATATATAATATATGTATCATACAGTCATACACTCATACTGTATATACAGTAAATATGAAATGAGCTAATTTTGGAATACAGTTAATTTTCAAGACAAAAGAATTACGAAACTTTTTTTTATTTATTTAATCATGCATCAATGAAACTTTCTATCCTAAAATGGAGTACAAGATAAGATCATTTACAGTTATAAACTTAACTCAGGAAATTAATAAGTTACATTTAAAAAGGAAAAAATTTCGAAAAAAGGTGACAATATTTTTCTGACGTTTTTTATGTTTATTAAAACGTGTATCTTTTGACCAATGGATGATAAAAAATTTGTTTATTTTTTATGTGGTACCAAGTACGTACGTACTTGTGCGTACTATAGAAGTATATAGACTGTACTGTACAATTAATTATCTTAACAACTAATCCTAACTTTTTTTCCACGTGTTTAATAATTCTATAATAGTTGTCTCAAAAAAACTTTAAATAAAAAGTCTAGAATTTATTTTTATGGGTAATGATTTACGAAATATTTGTGTTTTTTTTTATTGTTTTATCGTCATTTAAACAAATTTTGAATGTGATTTTCGCATATAGTGTAATAGTGTAATAATGTAATAAATATTAGCATAAATTTCAAATTAATAATAATAATATATAATAAATATAAACAATTTACAATTTATAAAAATTGTTGTTGAAAATCCATCCTCTTTTTGATTAATTCTTTATAATTATATTATTGTTGTTAATTTTCATTATTTATTACTATTTTTATTATTATTTGTATTTTTTTTTTAAAGTTGATGTGTTTCCTTGTTTTAAGGGGTTCATTGAACGTCTTATGTACATATGTAGAATTTTATTGAATTTTTATTAAATTTTCATTGAATTTCATCATAAAAGTTCATTGAATTTTATTGATTGTGGGTTGAAAATCTCTTTATAATTCCCCGGGACGGGTCCTTATAACTAATTTATATTAATTTGCAGATGAATTTTTTTTAGGCGTTCGTTTCCGTTCGTGTTCACTACCAGTTTTTCGTGTTCATTTCCAGTTACGTTCATTTCATTCATTTCGGTTACGTTCATTTCCAGTTACGTTCATATTTCTCAGTTAGTTCATATTTCCAGTTACGTTCATTTCATTCATTTCCAGTTCTCTTGCATTATCTGCATTATCATTATTACCAACTAAAAAATCTCAAATATTCATTATACTTTTTTTTTACAATTGATTCAATATATTCACGGATTGGTGTTTGGAAGAAGATTACACAAATTTAAACAATTTAAACAATTTTAAACAATTATTTAAACAAAGTAAAAAATAAAGTTGTGGCATAAAAATTTTTTTTTCTAATTGGAAAATTGGAAACAGAAAGAAATACACGAAAAGCATAAAATTTTCTTTCTAATTGGAAATAGAAAGAAATACACGAAAATAAAATTTAATGATACATAAAATAAAAATAAAGTTTAATAAACAAAAATAAAAACAAAGTTATAGAAAATTATAGAAAATGACTATATATATAAAAATTTATAGTTTTTATAGTTTTACAGTTGCATTACTATCATATATACTTTTATGTATAATATATACTTTTATGTATAATATATACTTTTATGTATAATATATACTTTTATGTATAATATATACTTTTATGTATATACTCTTATATATATAATCTTGTATAATATTATATGTATAATATATACTCTTATATATAATATATACTCTTATCAGTCTTATGTATACTCTTATGTATACTCTTCTTATGTATAACCCGTAATATAACCCGTAATATAACCCGAACTAATCTGTACCTGTACAGGTAAAAATAGTATTAAATATAATAAACTTTACATTGTTTTTTAAGAAATTGTGTAAATAAATAAATAAATAAATATTATTATTATTTTTTTTTTTTACCCACGATATATTTGACGCGAATATTATGCACTTAATATTTTTTCTGTAAACAAATAATATAAATAATGTGATTTGACATTTAACAAACAAGAAAATTATTAAATGTTAAATGTTTATTCCATTCAAAAATAGTTTTTTTAAATTTTTAATTTTTTTTTTTTTTTTAAAATTTGATTAAAATTGGTTAAGATTGGTTAAGATTGGTTAAATGAAAAATGTCTTATAGGTAACAAACAAAACGCGAGGAAAAAAAAAACTTTAAAATAGAACAATCGAGAAAAAAAAATGCATTCATATTCAACTCAACTAATATTATTCCGTTTAATTCATTATGTTTCTAAAAACGTTTCTGGTGAACTTTTGACTCAGAATAAAATGAGATGTTCGTTGATCTTGTGCTACTCATTTTTTTTTTTTATAGAACGGGTTATCCGGTCTAGGGAGGGGGCGATGGGGTCCCGGTAAAATTATTAATAGATTTATAAGCCAGACAACGAAACTTTCAGGAGGAGAAGATTGTAAACAATGCATGTCTGATAATTTACAATAAACTATTGAAAAAAGGTAAATATTTGAAATTCACAAGAGCTAAAAAAGAATTTGAACATAAAAGGTTTAATTTCTCGCCCCTGGAAAATTACATAATCATCAAATTTTCTAAACAAGGTAGTATTGTATTTTGTATAAGATTATATAAGTGCGATGTTAAATATTTTCGCTCAAGTTTTATGCAGTGTCGCATTAAAATTTTCGGTAAACAAAAAAAAAAGTGGTTCACAAAACAACGTAAAACCTCCTTAATTGTTTAGCATATGACCAGTTTTTCGGAAAGTGACACGATATTTTGTTTTTTGGGGCTCATGATTTTAATATACTTAAATATGCGCTCTACAAATTTCTTTCTATGTAGTGTCTCTAATTACCATGGATTATTCAGCATGTGATAAAGGTCTAGAACAGAGTTTCTATTATTATTATTTCTTTCACAACATTAAAACGCCAAATCACTTTATCCATAATTTAAATCTCATTTGAGTACCAAAGATTACTTTTTTTATTATTGGAATTATATGCCGTGTGACGACAATATTAATTGGTTTAGGTAATAAATAAGAAATAAATCCGATATGATGTTTAGCTATTCTCATTGATCAAATAAAAATAAATAGTAACATATGATTGTGTCCAGTCATCCGGTAATGAACCTTTTGGTTCTCTAAATTATTTCTATACATAATTACATATAATTGGTCTTTTAAGATTTCTCTGTGTCGAATTTTGTAATTTTCGTCTTTAATTGATGGACTTTAGACAAGATTATTATTCAGCATGTATTTGATGTAATTGAAGAATATCGTAATTAATTAAAGTTGAGAAGGTCCCATTTATAATTTCCATTTTTCAACAACACAAAACGCCAAATTACTGCGTTTAAATATAATTCGATAACTATAAATGATTATTAATAGATTATATATTACGATTAACAATCTATTTTTTTTTTTATAAAAAAAATTAGCCAATAAGAAAAAAATTCACACAACAGTTTTAAAACATTTCAAAAAAATAATGGTGATTTTTAGGATTTTTTCTTGGTTATTATTCATTTTAATATTTCTTCTTTCCTTTTTTATCCCTCAAAAGGTTCAAAGCCACAATAATCAACCGAGTTTTTCATTTAAAAATTTTTTTAATTTAATAAAAACAAATATTTTTTTTGTTTTACGTTTTACTGTAAGTATATCATTATTTAAATGAATGAAAAAAAATGAAAATCTTTTAATATGTAACGTCAAATAATTAAAAAAAATGCACTCTTTTAATTTGAATTGATTATGATTTTTTTTTTTTTTTTAACGAATCATGGAATCATAAAAAATAAAATTTTATTTTAAATTTTTTTAATATTCGGTTTTTTTTTTTCCTTTTTTTTTGGTGAAACATTATTTTTTTTACAAAATTTTAAATTTTAATTGAATGAAAAAAAAAAAAAAACGCGAAAATAATTTTTAACTTAAAATATAATTATTCATACATACTTTTTAATATACTGTACATAATTATTATTATATATCATATGTCGTATTACTTTAAAAAATTCTAGAACCTTATTATTCATTAAAAATTTTTGAAACTTATTATTTTTTACCCGAAAAAAAAAACCTCAATCTTATTATTGGATGAATTTATTATTGGATAAAAAGAAAAAGCCAAGAGAATAATTTTATATATCTTCATTCATGTATTCATGTAATTATCCAATCCAATGAACCGTTATCCAATGTCGATCTTTAATTTTTTTTCTTTCAATCGATTCTAAAAAAGAAAAATAGTAATTTCTATGTAAAAAAAAAAAAATTTAGAAGATAATGAATTTTAAAAAAGCGATTTGTTAAAAAAAATAATGCATTTGTAAAAAAAAAAGTATGCATCTAAAAAAGAAATGCATCTTTAAAAAGAGTACTCATTTATGTTGTTATGCATAATCATAATCTTAAAAATGCGGCCAGCAATCTTCACAGAAGATTGCAGCTAGGTACGACAGTCCAAGCTTAATGGTCAGTTTTATTTTTAAAAAAACTAAAAAAGGTAAATTAAATAACTTCCACCCATATTTGTAACTATTAGACTTCTTTAAAAAAAATTTCATTGAAAATATTATAATTGCAATTTTTTTTTTCATACTTTTTCTGCAGCCAATAAACATGTAAACAATTTTAATTAAAGTTTACTGGATTTCAGAAAGAAAAATCTTAAATTTTTAATGTACGGTATCTTAAACGCCTGGTACATACGGGTACATTACATCTTGCATATATAATTTCCTTTAAAAAAAAAAAAAAAACTGGTTTTATATATTATATAAAATGAAAAGAACAAATAATATTTTGATTTGTTAATTCATTATGTAATTTAACCGAATTATTTTTTCCTTTGTTTAAAATCGAAATCTTTAAGGAATCGTACATTTGACTAATGGGACTTGGCATTTTGTATGTAAATCTCTCTATTCCAGGAACATTATTACAGTATAGCAGGTAGCAATTTTACCGAGTAAATAATATCAAACATGGTTAGTACCGCAAGTAATGATACATGGTTAGTATCGCAAGTAATGATAACGAATTTAAATGCAGTAATTGCTAAATTAAACATGGTTAGTATTGCAAGTAATGATAGAAACCTAGCGAATTAAACATGGTTACTACCGAAAGTAATGATAGAAAATCCAGCGAATTTTAAATGCAAATTGGAAATCAGTATATGTTACAAAATATGTTAGGTCAAAAAAACTTCAAAAATGTTCAAATATTCAGAATAATTTGTAATATTCTCATATTAAAATATTTATTGGCGAAAAAATTACGTTAAAATGATATATCTATAAAGCGAATGAGATTACTATTTTTGTTTTAGTGGACTGACTCTTTTACATCATAGTACGATTTTCATATAGCCTATATACTGCAATTCGCTGGTTTATAATCATCTTTTCTGTTTCGTTTAGTGTCTTCACGATATTCTATTAATGAAATTTCATATTAAAGGGTCGAAATCTCGTAAGGAAATCGTTCTATCTTTGGAAATTCTATAGTTAAAAATTTTGATTCGATAATTTTATAGTACAGCAAACTCCGATATAACGATACTACCTATATAACGATAACTCCGATATAACGATATGTTGAGGATTGTTGGGGATTCCCATATGAAAATTATTGAAAAATATCAGTTATATTAAATTATATTGATACTTAGATGTTCTCTCATATAGCGGGAAAGTAAAATTTTATCGTTATATTAATATATATCGGTATACCGAATACTGGTATTATCGAGGCATCATGCATGTTGTTAAAGAGACAGTACCTAACCTATTATTAAAGAGGAATGGATATGAGAATGAAATAATAGCAAAGTTACAAAAAATAGTCTCCTCGTGTGGCCCGCATATAATGTGTTGCATATAGGAGGTCAAGAAGGGTGTCGTAACGTCGATGTTGGATGAATTTATTTCAAGATATCTATTCACATCATTAGCATCCGTCAATGCTTACGTTCCCTTTATAGACACTTCCAATTAATTACATCACAATATCTACGATTCTACGTCCACACAACAATACTATGTCCACAGCGGGGTTGACACGGTCCTTGTTCTAATTTTTAGAAATTGTTCCCTGTAGCAAGGTCTCAGACTGAAGGTAGGCTTGTATAGAAATTTCTTTATAATGTTCGTCTGCAGCCATTATTGTACTGTCTTATATTTCTATCATATAGTTTTGTTCTCTAATAAAGTACCGCAAAAAAAAAAATAGTAGACTGTGTATTTTTATCATATAGTTTTGTCCTTTTAAATAAAGTACCGCAAAAAAAAATAGTTGACTATGTCCAGAAATTCGAATCATCATCATTGGTATGGGAATTTTCACAGTAATTCTATATGAAGTGGACTTAAGTGAGTCTTGGTGTTTACTTTTCGGATGCAAGCGACATTACCTTGGAAAAGTTACATTTTCTAGCATCCATTTTCCGACGATTACTCAACAAGACATATTCCCGAATGGACACTTTACTGGCATATCATCTTAACATTTTCCCGATGTACTCTTCCAACGATTACTCTTTTCACTGACATATCATCTCAACATTTTCCCGAATGACTTATGCAGATGATTTTTCTGCCGTAGTTTCTTCCCATAATCCATATGAAAAAGTTTTTAGCATTTCGAATTATATGATTACATTTGACTTTAAAATTGGGTTTGGAATTTTTTTATGAAAATTTTATTATTTATTAGAATCTGTTCTGACTTCAAAAAACTTAGACGGAACCTAAACTTATGGGTAAATAGTTCATTTCTTTGATTACAATATAAATAGTCCACCTATTTACTTTTGTTAGGGTATTAAATTTTGTTTAAAAAGTTTGGCACACCTTCTAGAATGTGATTTTAATTAAATTTCACGAATAATTAAATGGCTAATAAAAGCTTAAAAGATAATAATTAAATTAAGGTACGGTAGATAACATTAGAGGATAAATCGCAAATTTGTTACAAATATTGGTCATCCTAATTAATTCTAATCATTGTTGGCATTTGGACGCGGCCAAGAATTTTTTTGGCCAGTTTGGCCGACCAAAATGGCCAACCCTAGCCAAATTTTGATCAAATAACAAAATACTAATTCTTTATTAAGGCTGAATTGGCATTTGGCCCGCGGCCAAAGATTTTTTTGGCCAGTTTGGCCGACCAAACAAACTGGCCAAACGGCCAAGTGCCAACACTGTTAAGTTTTAATCACGTCAGGAGGAAATACTGTGAAAGATTATGAAATTTACAATTTTACTCACATTAGAGAAGCGGTTATAATTTGTAAGTAACGAACAGAAAATCTTATATTTAGGAAAACGCAGAAAGAGGAGAAGAAGAAGGAGGGGAATATGCTTTATTTACGTTTTTATTTACTGGACGGAATCGGTGGTCCTATAAAAAATTTTATCCGTTATTTCTGTAAAAACTCCGTAAAAAATGAGTCTTTCCCGGATCCATTCATGGAAAATAAAATAATTCGATAAATTCCGTGATATAAGGTTATTAATGCGGAAAAAAAGATGGATATAAAAAGAGTTTACCATAAAATCGACAGTCTACAACCCCGACACCAAACCCAAATCCTGTTGAAATAAAATCCCGAAAGTCACAAATTCCGACAGTTAAAAAATCTTGACAGTCAAAATCCCAAAGTTTTTTTTTTAAAAAAAATAAAAAAATGTATATAGTTTTAAAATGTAGTGACGCAGTAAAGTGACGCAGTAATGGGCTAATTTATTCAATATAATTTAAAATATAATCTGTAAATTTTATTAATACCAAAATGTAAATTGTTTGCAAATTTTATTAATAGTTACTATATTATTAATGAAAATTAAAGAAAAAATTTTTATCTTAGTATGTACAGTATATTTCTAGATTCTAAACCAATCGAAATTTGCATTTATCAGGATTTTGGTGTCGATAGACTGTCGCATTATGGGTGTTAGGATTTTTGGGTGATCCCATATAAAAAACGGATCGATTTTTTTTACAGGGAAATATATCCGTCGTATTTTATTTGATGGTTTATAGGTTGTGATAATTTGTCATCACACGATGAAGATTTTTGACGTTTCAGAAATACATCTGGTTGTGTGAGGAAGAGTTAGTCGAGACTTACAAATATATATTTATCACCAAGATTTTCCATTTATGATTACCGCAAAAATCGGTGCATTTCTTCCGTTGAAAATATTAACATCGGAAAGTGATGCAGTTTAATTCGAGGCCTTTTAATTTCTAAACCTGAACTAAACCTGAACTAAATAATGCGTTTCAGTCATCAATCAGCGCATTAGTTTAATCGTTACAATCTTTTTTTTTACTACCAGCGAAATCACTACTAATGTGATATCTAATTTAAATGTGTAAATTTCTAGTTGTATTGAAACAAAAATTCAAATAATTTGAGAGATTCTTGAAATTTAATTTGGCAACATGTGTAAGTTGCCGTTAATTATTTTATCTCTATTTGCAAATTAGCTTGATATGGACAATTACAAGATTGATTACAGGACAATTGCCGGACAATTACCGGATATTTAATGGACAAAAATTGATTGATAATCAATCAAAATAAACATTGTAAATCAATGCGTTTCATTCAGGGCTGAAAATGAAAAATCAAGAGGTACTAAAATTATATTTGACATATTAGATAAAAATTGCGTAAAATGATGGAATAATAAATTTTAAGAAATTAATTTTATCATTAATAATAATTTATTTCAGATTGAAATGATTATTATAGATTTTCAATACATGTGGCTATTTTTTCGTGCTGCTCCTGATTCGTTATTTATGAAAAGATCCGATCTAGTTATTTGATCTGATAAACGATCTATAATCAATTAATAAATAATAAAAATCAATCTATATTTTTAAAGCTTTCTTGGAAATAATTATTATTAAAAGAACTTAACTGAATAAATTAAAGAATCTTTATGATAATCTGAATTTATTGTATTAATTAATTATTAATATATTGCCTGGATGTTTTTTTAAATGTTCCTTGTAAATCAAATTAAATAAATTAAATTACCTTATCATTCTTAATCTATAGAATTTATCCCATATTTAGGATTCGGCGTTTACAGGGAGAAACGTTTCGAGTTTTTGAAAAATGGTTTTCTCCTATGCAGGTGATATGAAATACAAATAAATACGTTTAAGAAATTGATACGCAATATCGATAAATTTGAGCCAAACTTTTTATAGTGTGACCCTATCTACTTAAGCTATATCGGAGAACTAATTAATCTATCCAAATTTAGTTTAATGAATACATATATAGATAGTTAGCAACCTCCTTTTTTTTTTTTCCTTTTTTTGAATTTGTTACCGAAGATCATCAATTATTTAAAAAAATTTTTTTTTTTTTGCNAACAAAAAAATAAGGAGACGTTAAACAAAAAAAGATAAGAAACTATAGAATGGCTTTGAAAGATTTTGAGAATTTTGAAATTGATTTTTTTTTTAAAAAAAAAAAAAAAATCGAGAATTCGATTAAAAAATTTTTACGGAAAAAAAGTATTAGGGTTAGGTTGTAATCAAAATGAGTGATCCGCCTAATAATGAATCTGAATCCGAGCGTCAACAAAGTACTATTCCTATTAGTAATCCAGCGTTACTTTCTTCTTCCCGTCGTACTGTAAGGTAAATTAAAGATCTATTTTTGATTTGTAATTTATATAAAAGAAATTCATCATTAATTATTAGGTAATCCTTTTTAGTTTTCCAAGTCCATATTACGATTCAATTTATAATCCACCCGTAACCGCAGAAAGTCAAGAAGCACATGGGTATAATGAAGAAGAAAATATAAATAATTTTGATACTTCATTACACCCAATCGAAGAAGAAGCTCATCGACCTTTAGATTCTGATTTCTCATCATTTCCTAGAAGGATAAAAAAGGGAACTTCACCTAGATTTCTTAGACATCGACATCAAACTCAATATGGAACTCCACATTCATTTGCTTGGAGTGCTTTGAGATATTTTAATGAAGGATTATCCGGGGGAACTCCTTCATCTATTCATTCTGAGGATGTTTTTCAAAGAAGTTTTATGTATGATGAACCTGGTGTTATATCTCCTGGTGAAGGAAGTATGTATAGTGTTATAATGGATGATGGTTCATTACAAAGAAGAAGAATTTCTCTAACTTCGGAATATTCAAGGTTCTTATTACAATATAAATTTTCATTCTAAAATTCTAAAAACATTTAATTTATTCTTACTCTTATATTTTAACTTTTTTTAATTCAGGTACAATACGGTTAACGAACAAACGGCATTACTTCATGATCAAGATAATTCAGACTCTGATGCTGAAGATACGTACAATAATAATAAAAATCGACGTTATACATCAAAGTTTGAGAAATTTAAAGCTTGGTTTTATGAAGATTTTTTTACACAAAGTACAAAGAATATAATTAAATGTGCATTAGCATATTTTCTTGCATCACTATTTACTTTTATTCCGATATTAAATGAAAAAACGGGATTAAAAGAAGCACAAAATTCTCATTTAGTAGCATCAGTAGCAGTATTTTTTAATCCCGCTAAAACTGTTGGAGGAATGTATGAGGCAGTAATGTTTTCTCTTATAGGTGGATTATTTGGATCTTTAATTTGTATTGGTAGTATGGCTAGTGCTGTTTGGTTTGATAATAATGGTCTTGATACTATCGGACGTATCTTAGGTGTTGTAATTTGGTGTGGTGGAAGTATGTTTATAGTAGCTTTTCTTAAGGCTAAACTAAATAAACCTAATTTTAACAGCGGTAAGTTGTAATTTAATTTTATTATTTGGAACTTTTTTGCTAAAATAAACCAATTTACTTATTTTTTTTATAAATTTATAGCATGTTCTCTTGCAAATATTATCATATTTGTAATTGTAACAAAGGAAGGATCACCTGATTTAGCTAATTTTTCAATGGATAAAATTATTCAAGTAACAAAAATAATTTTTTTTGGGATATGTATAAGTTTCTTCGTTTCAGTATGTGTTTGGCCTGTTAGTGCTAGTAAGAAATTAAAGTAAGTTATAATATATTTAAAGAAATGTTTCGTTCCGATGTGAATTTATTAATCTAATCTTTTTATATTTTATAATAGGGTTGAGATTGGGAAAACTTTAGGATCATTTCGTCTTCTTTTAAAACTTCTTACCAAATCTTTCCTTATCGATGATGTTAATTATACAGACGAATCTGTTCAATCTGCAATTAAATCATATCAAGCTACGTTCACAACACTGAAGGAATGCCTTAAGCAAGCATCATATGAAATTCATAATAGGAATATGCAACGACAACTTGGACTTTATCAAGAGACGATCAATAGTTTACAAAGATTAGCACAATATTTGGGTGGTTTAAGAAGTTGTTGTGGATTACAATGGGAAATTATGAAAGATGATAAAACTAAATACGGTAGTGGTTCAACTACTTTGAATGAAAGTTTTGATGGATTAGGTGTGGAAGTAGATGATGATGACGAAGATGAAGAATTTGTAGATTTAGGAAATTTATTGGAAATTATTAGATTTGTTGGACCATCAATGAAATCTTTAGCATATACTTGTAAACAAACTATTTCACATCTTCAAGATCAATTTACCGTTACATCAGCATTTTCAAAAATACCATCATTTACTTTACTTCATCAAAACTTAAAATCCGCACTGGAATTATTTGAAAAATCACAAACAAAATCACTTACAAAACTTTATCGTAAAAAAACTAATTATGATAATAGACCAAATGAAGAAGTTTTTTTAACATATTTTTTTGTATTCAATTTACAAGAATTTGCAAGAGAATTGGCAGATTTGGTGGATTTAGTTGATCATATACAAAAATTAGATGCAATAGAACAACGTAGAAGAGCAACGAGAAGATGGTGGAAATTTTGGCGTTATTTTGGTTGCTTTACAAGTGATAGTTCTCATGACGCTATGTTTAATAAAAGTTTTGATGAAAAAATCAAAAAAAAATTCCCTGAAAATACGAATAATTTATTTAATACGATTCAAACTCCGATACCAAAAACTTTTGCGCAAAAGTTTACTATTAAAATGTGGAAATCACTCACTTGGTTTAGACAATTTGAAGTCAAATATGCTTTTAAAGCAGCTGTTAGTACTGCTATTTTAGCTAGTCCCGCGTTTATTGAGTCAACTAGAGAATTATTTTGGCAATATCGTGGTGAATGGGCTTGTATTTCAGTAAGTTAAATTAATTTTTTTTTTATTTATTTAATTTAATTTAATTTAATGCTAATACTTTATAAATAATTAGATGATGGTCGTGATGGTACCAACAGTAGGAGGGGCAAATCTTATAGGATTATATCGTGCATGTGGAACATTATTTGGATCATTTCTCGCTTGGTTTATTTACACACTCTTCCCTGAAAATGCAATTGTAATGTCAATTTTTGGATTTTTTATCGCCATTGTATGTTATCATTTCATACTTTACTCGAAATATAATCGTATCGGAACATTCGTTTTATTAACGTATAATTTAGTAGCTTTATATAAATTCAATCTTCGAGATTCTGATCAACAAGATCTTGATATTATTGATATTGCAAGATATCGTGCGATCGCAGTTGGTACAGGTATAATTTGGGGAGTTTATGTAACAACATATTGGTGGCCATATGAAGCACGTGTAGAATTACGAAAAGGATTAAGTCAATTATTTATTAACATGAGTTGGTTATATAATAGATTAGTAGCTATCTATTCAATTAATCGAAAAGATTATGATGATGATAATAATAATACGGATCATCCAGTAAATGTTTCACAAGCATTATCAAAATCAGCCAGAGAATTTATAGAAATGGAATTATTTTTACAATTATCATTACTTAAACTTAGAGAATTATTATCACAAACACCAAATGAACCACGTATGAAGGGACCATTTCCAGTAAAAACCTATAGTGAAATTTTAAGTGGATGTCAAAATATTTTAGATAAATTACTTTCAATGAGAATAGCGGTAACAAAACAAGAATGGTATACATCAATTCGAAGGGATTTTATTATACCAGTATCAAAAGAAAGAAAAGATTTAGTAGGAAATACTATTTTATATTTTTATATTCTTGCAGCGGCTCTAAGATTAAAAACACCCTTACCACCTTATTTACCACCTGCTGAAAAAGCAAGAAAAAAATTGATTAAAAAAATCAGAAATCTTCCAGTTGTTAAAAAACGTGTTATTGAAGGAAATGATGAACATTATATCGTTTATTATGCTTATGTTTTAGTCATGGAAGATATAATTAGAGAATTAGAAAAATTAGGTGGAATTATGAAAGAGTTATTTGGTTGTATAGGTAATGAAGAATTTGATGATTTTTTCAATACTAAACGTGAAGCTAGCACTAGTGGTTTTGATGATAATATGGGTGTTGCTAATACTTCGGTTCCACAACAAGATGAACAAGATGATAACGTTAATAACAACATTTCAAGTACTGATAATAATAATAATGTAGAATCCGGAGCTTTTATGAATTCATCTCAACCAACCGCTGTTTCACAAAATGACGTACATAACAATCAAACAACTAATTCGTAGAAATTTTATTATTGTTATATATTGTATTATATATTTTTAAATAGGAATAACATTTTCTTGTATTTTTTTTTTTATTATTAAGTTATTATAAAAAAATTTTTTCGGCATATTATAAAAAGTTGAATAAAAAGACAGGATTTTGATCATATTTTATATAAAATAAGAGATTGATGATTATCAGAAATTTTATTTAATTCGATTAAGGCAGTAATTTACTGCGATACATCTATGTTATTACGTCATGTGCATTATGAATCGTTGTAGTACAAAGTTTTGGTCACAATGACGAAATTAGATAATAGTTTAAAAAGACATCAATCTCAAGTTCATCGTAACTCAAATTTTGAATTTTTCGAAACAAAATTTTTTTTATATCTAAAAAGAAGAAAAAAAAAAGATAAGAAAAAGTAAAGATTTAAAAAGATGAGAATATTTGCAATACCAATATTAAAAAACAAGACAACATATTATTGTCGTCATAAACCTAAAACAACAACATATTTAACAAAAATGACGAATTATGCTACAAGAAAATGGGAAGAATTATCAAATGCTGATAAACAAAGTTTAAAAGGTAGAATTTATGTAGGAGGACAAAATTTATTAGACAGAATGGATTATCAAGAATATTTTCTTAAAGGTGTACCTATGAGAGAAGAGAGGGGTGATGATAAAAGTTCAGTAAGTTTTTTTTTTTTATTATAAAGTAATAGAAAGATTTTTCATTATAAAATAATAGATCATTATAAAAATAATAGAAAGATTTTTTATTGTAAAAATAAAAGATTTTTCATTATAAAAAGAAAAAAGAATTTTTAATTCTTGTTTTTTTTAAGAGTATATTCGAAATTCGAAATTCCTTTATTTTTTTATAACAATTAATTAATTATTTTTCATACATTCTCTATTTTTTAGGTTCCTTTATTATATCCTTCTAATGTAATCACTTCTGAACAAATTGTAAATAATCTTCAAAAACTTTTAGAAAGAAGGTCACCATATCATCGAAAATATATGATTTATTCTGCATTATTTGTTCCTTTATCAGCCACATTTTCAATAATTCCTATTTTACCTAATATACCCTTATTTTATAATCTATTCCGTTTATACAGTCATTATAAAGGTTAAGTACAATATTTGAAAAAATTAAAATTTCTTTTTTTTTTAAAAAAAAAAAAAATTTATATATTATATACTAATATAATATTTTCTTTAATTATAGCATATAAAGGAGCACAACATTTATCTCATATTATTGAAGATAATAGACTTGTTCCAACAGCATCAAAGGAATTAATATATATTTATAATGGATTAGATTTAAATAAAAATGAAATTATTGATGAACAAAGAATTCATAATATCGCCAAGAAATTTGGTTTAATAGTATTAGAAAATGATGTTAAGAGAGCAAGAAATCAAATTTTAGAAAAAATAAAAAAAGAAAATCAAGAAAAAAATCCTAATAATAATATTAAAGTTGATTGATAGTGTAAGAAATGATGGTGGTGATAATAATAAAATTATAAAGGATAGCAAAAGGACTTTTTAGGAAATGAATTTTAATAATAAATAAAGAAGTTTTTAAAATAAAATAAAGATAATCAAATAATTTTATCAAGAATATTTAATATTTTAAAGATTTATTTTGGGATTGGAAAAGAAATTTCCACGGACAATTTTTTTTTTTTTTTGATCAAAAAAAAAATGTAGTTATTACGTACAATCGAATATACCATGATGTAATACGCGCAAGTTCTTCGCAAAATCTGTTTAGTTAGTCTGTTATAATATTTTTTGTTATTTCATACAAAAAAAAAAAAATCATTTTTGAATTAATTTATGTTCTGAACGCGTAATATTTAACCAAATCTGCGTATATTCTGTGTATTCTTCATTGTCTGCCATTGTGCTAATTATACATTTATACATGAGAAAAAATCGAATTACCAAATCAAGTTAGATTATCTGAATACATAATCGAATTAAGAGATTCAACAGATTCAACGAAAATAAAATGAATCTAAACTAATATATTTTCATTATGATCCACAAAGAAATAAAAATGTATGGGATATGTCGTGTAACATATTGATTTGGTTAAAAAATTAGATTAAGTATCACAAATATAATATAGTAGCCAATGTGCATAATAATAAATACTGTTCTTTTCTTTATTCATAATAAAGTTTTGTTTTTTTTTACGATATTTACTATGCTCTAAAAAAGAATATTTTTTAACTATATATTGATATAAGACGAAACCTATTTCTTTCTTTCTTTTTATAAACATGAAGATAAAAATTATTATTCTAACGGTTACATTTTTAATATTCCAAGTAAATATAATTTTTTTTTTTAATTATTTACTGTTTTATTTTATTATTTTTTTTTTTATATAAAAATAAAAAAAAATAGAAAAATAAAAAATAAATTAAAAAAAATAAAATATTATTTAATTTAGATCATTAATATAAATGCACAAAATATATTGGGTTCGGTAATTATTCCATATAAAACCGTAGAAATTCCACCAAATAATGGAACATGGTATCTATGTTCACAAGAAGCGACAAAATATGTTAGTAAGTATCAATATTTTTTAATAAATTTTTTTTCAAATTTTTTTCTAAATATTTATCATTGATTATTTTACAAAAATTTTCTTTTAGGTTATAGCGTAAGAGTAGTAAATAATACATGGCCATTAACGGAGCCAGAATTTGGTACAAAAAAAGAGGGATATAATGTATCACTTTTAACAGCACCAAAAGAAGGAATTGTTGCTCAAATAGTTTATACTTCATCTTTTAAATTTGTTCCTTCTTTATCTTGTTACATGAATTTTGTTACTGAATGTGATCAAGATGCTGGCAATTATTTAATGAAAGATAATGAAGTTTATTGCTTGGTTTTGGTAAATCCTGCTTCTGAAGCAAAACATACAAATGTTACCATTTCTTTTACTAATTCAGTATTTGAAAATCCATTTACAAGTGATGATAAACCTGGTGGAAATTCTCCTCCAGGAACACATAATAGCGCTACTTTATTAGAATTCAGTTTTATTAATTTATTTTTATTATTAGTTATTCATATGTTAGTAATTGAAATTTTATAATGTAAATTTTAATAGTTATTGATGAGCAAAAAAAAAAAAATTTCTTTGCATTGGCAAAATAAACCAAATATTTGTCGGTAAATACTGTATTATCTGTTATGTATACTCATAAATTGACATCATAGAGTAATAATAGTTTTGCATATATACTATATGATTGTATGCCCCCTTCTTCATAAATGTTAATAGGATCTTCGTCCATTTTTTGCGTTACAAAATTAATTAAATGGGAAATCGTGAATATATGTAAAGTAAGACACCGATAAACTAATGCATTTGCGCTTGCACTAACTTAAATACTTCATTTTGATCTTCTAGAAGACAGATCTGATATCGATGATTGAACCGAAAGTTAGTATGAAAGAATTACGTAATAACCGCAAATAACATTTAGTAAATATGGGCAAAAATCTTAAATTTCCAATCACAACGAACTAGAGTAAGCTGTTTCAACTTACCGCGATAACAAAGTTTAATAAATTTTTAAGATTTATTTCTTAATTTAAAAGGAAATTCAAATCATTATAATACCTGTATTCCTTATATTTCAATATTTTCTTTACTCAACAAATAATGTGCTTTAATTAGTGAAGAAAAAATATGTTTTTCGTTTTATGATAAAATTTTGAATTAATGTAAATTTCTTTTTATCCAACAATTTATTAAGCACATCATTGAAGGCATCTAAGAGTGATATACTGGTTTCACCTTAACTTACAATCTAATTACTGATTAAGTGGCTCTTACGAGTTGATTTTACAGTTCTTGTTCCAACTGGATGCGCTTGATTCGAACGATTCCCTTGTACGAAGATTCACACGAACAGTATTAAGCAACACTATAGTAATCCTCAATTTTTGACAAAACATAATCACGATTACCAGGAGACAGGAGTTATAGAAGACCTACAAATTAATATTTTAATACCAATAAAAGGCTTATGTCTTTGAATGAGTGTTGGTCATTGAGACCATCTGTAAACATCGAAGTATATTCGTTGCCATTAGCGACACATGGGAAATCAATCAGGTTGGTAGTTGTCGTCTAAGTGAACTCTTTAATGAATCATTCTTTTGTCATGCTGTTACTTGAATCTAAATCATGTAAAATAAATAAGAACGTGAAACGATCATAATTATTGTATATGGTAATTCTGCCATGTGTTATCCTATGCCTGCCCCGGTCTCCGTAGGCTACCTTGGCCGAAGGACTAAGGGCCTTCAAAGGCTCAAGGCCGGAGAGGAGCCTGCTTTATCCCTAGGGGACTTGGGCTATAGTTTGAAGAATAATTATAAGATAAATAAAAGGCAAATCCATTTCCACAACGTATATATCCTTATTATCCTTCCTTCTATTTCTATTTTGTTAATTAGTTAATCATTACTAAGTTTCGTCAAAGACTACCGTAATAAATGTTATAGATGAGACCTGCTCGTATTTCGAAACGTTGTTTGAAAAATTCAGCAAGGAACAAAAACAAGAAATGACAACATGTGTGTTTTAGTGTTGTTATATCAATGTAGAATAACCTTAGTAATAAAAATATAACCGCTAAAGGAAAGTTTTGACAACAATTGACATATATGTCAGATGAACTCGATTAATAAAGTATAAATAATGGCTATTACAATCTAGATTCTAGAGTTTACCCATGGAAAATTCAGCTGGTAAACCGTGTACAGATGACATCCACAGTAACAGTATATGATTACTATTTACTACATAATAATTCAATATACAATAAAATAATGCATTTTACGAAATACAAACATAATTAATTTTTCAGATGCATAAAGTGGAAATGAAATAATCGCAAGCGAAATACACGACATTTCAAGGGAGTACATAGACCCTATCAGTATATACTACAATTAAAATCGGGATTGATCTAGGCCATTTTAATGCGGGTCTTTGCTTTTACTTTATTTCTAACTACGAGATCCTCGCATATCTACCTATCTACTCACACAGACCATGTACAGTTTATTTTCCGCAAGAGAGTCTTTCTGAGATGACAGAATTTCAGATCTATAGAAGAATTCCAGAGATTATTAATTGGGTAAAAACAATGTAATACTTCCGATTCACTCACCGTTAAATTTCTATGCCACCCTCCTCTGTATTGAAGACCAACATGTAATAACGATTGCCGATTTGATTTCATCATGAAATTCGAAAAATTCTATTAATATATTTAATCGATATATAAATATTAGATTTTTTTATCCTTGTTTGTTTGATAATGACTTAAGTTCGATTAGTTTGTTCCTTAATTTTTATTTTTATTTTATTTATTTATTCATTTATTTATTTTTTTGAGTAAATAAATGATTTATGTTTTATTTACACAAGGAGGTTTGTTAATCAGATTCATGTAATTTGAACCCGAGAGTGACAATCTTTAGTAAAATTATGTTAATATGATAACACAGAAGCCTTGGATTTTTTTAATCAATAATTCACGTAAATATTCAGAAAAGTTTGGAGCACCATTCCTTATCATTTCCGATAATCAGTGTTCCAAATAAGAAATATCAACTTTGATGTGACAAAAAATTTATTACTGCGGACAACATATTTGATGATTTATTCTAATTCTCTTATCGAAGAACATATACAGTATAAATCTAAATAATAATATGACAATGATACAATATTTTTTAAAAAAAAACCTAGAAACGGAAAGTCCCGATACAGTCGGAAATAAAAGTTATGTTAAAAAATAATATTACTAAACGGATCATTAAAAAAAATTAATCTCTAGAAATAATGAATTAGAATGTAATTTTCGCAATTAATACTCACAGTGCATAACATTTTTACAAGTTGAAGTAAATAATTCAAGCATTTCATCTGTTCGGAATCAGTTTTTGTCCGAGAAGTTTGGCGCAGCAATGCGAGGCAGAGTGAAATATAAATTATAATGGTAGGATGTATTACTTTTATTTTTTTAAATAGACTCTTACTGATTTTTGCTCCGAAATTTTGTAATAGATCAAAATTTACTTCATCTTGGAATGTGTGAATGGGAATTGTTTAATTTATATTAGTTAGAATGATATATATAAACATAACAAAAATTTAGTGTATAAAAAATTGATCATAGAAGCAAAGTAGATAGTAAAAAATTGGCATTAGGTGTAGGAGTAGCGGGAAGGAAGCTCATTTTATGGGTTAAGGCTCAAGATGCTTCCTCCCTTTAGACTCGCTACTCATTTTACTCACACTTTATTTTGTCATAATCAATGAAAAATCGGGTTTTAAATTTTTGCGATAAATGTGCATCTACCGGGAATTTATATATTTTATTTTGAGCATTGTAATCTAGTTTCATTTATTACATTTTTTCTTGTATTTATTTGCATAATCTGTTAGTTGTTAGTTAAAGCTAAAAGTAATCTTATTTCCAATGATTAAAAATCTGGCAAATCTATCAGAGTCAAATTCTTCCTAATCCAATATGTTGTATAATTCCATCCTTCATATTCTTTGTCTGCTGTTGTAACATACAGTACTTCTGTGGACCAAAATCATCAAACAGATCGTTTATATCCGGGATAACAAAATATAGATTGATTGGATTATAATTATTTATTTTACTCCAAATCACTGAGACTGTTCACCTTTGTACTATGTTTTCTGCAATTGTCATCTGATATAAATAATGAATCCCATCACATTCAGGCACAATAGCATCAATAGATTTAAAATTAGGACTATCGGGAATGTTATAACACCCTGAAGCAGTGATGTTAAATGACATTGTCATTTGACCAAATTTCAAATGACCTTAAATGACATTGAAATGATATAAGAAATTATGTCATTTAAAAAAAATGTCATTTGCAAATGACAAATGACAAAATGACATATGTCATTTCTAAGTGACAATATCATTTATGATTGTCATTATGATGATTAATCTATTTAGAGGCACATTTCATAATAACTTGTTGATCGAAACTCCAAAAAGCATAACTTAAAATTGATGATATCCAAAAATGGAATGACAAGTGTGTGATATTTATTTAATCTGGAAATTTAACAATTTATTATTATTTGTTTGTTAAATCTAAGATTTATCGATCTTTTTTGTGATTCTCGCGTTTCGTCATTATTTTTCATAACAAATTTCTTATTTCAATATATACGAGTTTGTATAAAATTAAAATGAAAGAAAAGCATAATTTTCGTGAATTTTTTTATTTATGTACACCAGATAATCCTAAAGCAAATAAAAAAGCAGTGTGTTTTTCTTGTATAAGAAAACATACTTTACCTATTGCTATTTCTAAACCTGAATGTTTCGTATCTAATAAAGCATTATTATGCCGTAATCATCTGAAAAAATGTGAAAATTTTGCTCATGAATATCATGAGAGTGAAAGAGAAGAAATTTTATCACGTAAAGTACCTGAAGATGAGAAAAAAAATAAAACACAAGCAATAATAAATGAAAGTGAGATGGAAACTGATAAATCTACAACTGCTGCACCATCTAATTCAATTATTAAATAATCAACCTTATCAGGATATGTATCCCGGCCATTTTCTAAGAAAGACATTCCTCATTTTGAAAATCTGGTATTACTAATGATGGTATCAAATGGTTTATCATTTACATTTCTGGAAAATAAAGAAACACAAGAAGTTTTTAGATTTATTGCTCCAGCATTGAAACTTCCAGGACGTCATGCCATCAGTAATCGTATTCTTTCTAAATCTGCAAACCAACTATCTATATCAATTGTAGAGCAGGCAAAAGGTGATGCAATTGGTGTTACTGCAGCTTTTGACGGCTGGACAAATGTTAAACAAGAACATCTTTTTGGGGTTGTACTTATTACTTCATCTGGTAAAACACTAATTTGGGGAGCTAAGGATATTAGTGATCAACGATCTAAAACTGAAGATGTTAAAATGTTAATTAAAAATTTGATGAATAATGCCGAATTGAAACAAATAAAAATCAATTGTTTTGTTTCTGATTCAGCTGGAGAATATGCTGCAGCAAGGTGAGTACAATTTTATATTATATATTTTATGGTATAGAATATTATT